AGCTATTCTTATCAAAGCTACTTAAAGTTACTCTTATCTTGAAGTGACTGGCGTAAATAAATATTCTGGTTCTAATTTTTCCAAAAGTATGTTGCAAACACACTATATATTTTAAAAAAATACAAAATGCCTTTATGTTGACTATTTTATTTTTTTGTCGCAAAATATTTTGAAACCAAATTACATAATGTGGCGATAGAATGTATAAATGTTAATGGTAACACAGCAATTTTAGATTTAAGAAGGTACATTTGAGAAGTATTAGATTTCAATTGCAAAATATCATATAGATTTATAAAAACATCTGCATTCAACTTGTTTTCTAATTCAAATAGAAATTTTATAACAAAATTGACTTTTCTGTGTAAATTGATTTATCTCCTATTTAAAGAATGTTATGATTTATATTCTTTTTTGTTATTTTTTCCAAAAAAATAATAGTAATCTAATTTGATCAACTTAATTTTTTTAAATCAAATTTTGGATGTCTTAGACATCCCTTCAGATGAATTGTTTTTAACTATATATGAGTTGAGACTGTGTTATTTTTATGAATTTGCTAAGGAAAAGAGTTGAAACTCTGGCCCTTTAAACTTTGTATCCACATTTCTCGGTGAACCACTCAATCAATATTCTGAATTGCAATTAGAAATCTTTTTTTAATTTCTTTTACTATTAAATTTTGAATTTTCACATTTTCTAAACACACTATAAAATATACAAAACGTGCTACGAGATATAAAATATTATGAAACATACTATAGTATAATAGTAGTGCATAAAAACTGCAATTTGTAAGGGTGACCAGAACCATTCTATTGGAATTAAAATGCTAAAGTCAAAGTTTACATTCATATAAAAAAAATTTTATCATAAATATTGATGATATCATTCTTTGTTTATTATTTCAGATAAGAGTGATCGTTCTGGAAAGTTTGAGTTACGAAATGGGAGTAGTACTCTTAGTAGATATGCTAATGGTATGCATTATATTTGAAAAATGTAATTTTTCATTCTTAAAAATTAATTGTTAAATGATAATTTATATTTATACATTCATTTTATGTATTCATTAATTTTTTTTTGGTTCAAAAAAAGGAAATATGATTGTTTGGTGTACTCAATATTCAGTTTGCAGAATGAAAGCTATTGAGCAGCTATTTAGATCAGCTTTTGGATGGTGAGATCGAAGCCATACAAATTGTACTCTCTCAACTTTTAAGCAATATGGATCACTTTTCGAGAGTAGTCATTTTATCAAGCTCAAAATCCGCCTTGCCTCTAGAGCCTCGTATTTAGTAGTCTTTAAGAATTGTCAATCCCTCTTAAGGTTTTTGTTTGACAAAAAATGAAATGCTAAACATTTTCATCAATTAAATGTATTTGATGACCCCTGCTTCTTGCTCTGTAACCTTCAGGAACTTAGAAGCTGTACTCACCTTGAGTGTTGGGTTCTCCAAGTGTTTATGTGAACATTACTGGGAAGCTAGGAACTTTTTTCTTCTTCTTTTTACAGGGCTGATTGTGCTGCGGAAAAAATCTGGATTTCCGTATTTTTCGCTAACAGTGATCCGGAAGTTTCCGGAGATCGAAGGTCCAGACGTTTGAAAAAATCATTGATCACAGAAGTTTCTGGAAATCAAATTTTCAAAGGGGGAACTTAAAAAACACAGTTTATTTTATTTGTTTGTAAGGGAGAGCCACAGAGATACTTTGTGAGCTTATATTCATGATTAATATTCATTTTTTTATCAGTAAATAGTTGTTATAATCATACACTCAAGAAAGAAAGACATATTTGTAAATTTTAATTACTTCTCCAGGTCATCATAGGTATGTGCATACTTGCCAACTTTTACGGATTATCCGTAAAATGTACGGATTTACGTCTAATTTTACGGGCCTACGGATTAACCTGAAATTTATACGGATCCCCCGTTTTTAGCGTTGCACGATTAGCGCATCGGTAAAATTCCGCGATTATCAGCTGCTACGGAGCTAGAGTAAAACCATTTGTAAAGGGGGAAAACAGAAAAAATGACAGGAGTTTTCCGATCTATTCCAAAGCAACACGGTAACCACACACCCCTTATAAGTGGCTTATCCTCGTAACCATAGTAACGGCACGTTCACGTGTAAACCAGTTGATTGGTTATTCTCCTTTTCTCCCTCCTAACTGCTTCNTCCTGTTATTTGTTTTCTGGTGTCCAAATTGTCTTTTGTACCCACCATCGGAATTAAAAAAAATTATTAAAGATTTGTGTTGATGAAAAGAATACAATACTAAAAGTAAAGAGCAGTTCGAACATATGATTCTCAATGATTTCATATGCCGACGATTTTTATTAACTAATTTGTTTTAGATTGTTGCTAAATATGATGACTTTTAATGTCTAATGTTAATATATTTTTTTAAATATTTTCAGAGGATATTTCTGTAACAGCTCTTAAATATTTCAAATCTTTGGCCACTGTTGCTGTTGGATTTGAATTTGGTGAGATTCAACTTTGGGAGCTGCATCATTTAACTCTACTGTAAGTTTTCTACTGGTGTTAATAAATAAATCTGTATTACATTGAAATATAATAATACATTATATATGAAACTGAAATTGCCTTAAATGTAACAATAATCTATCTACATCTTAATATCTCTTTTATTGAAAAATAAAAATTTTCCTAAAATTTAAGGATAAACCAAAATTTATTCAATTTTTTTAGTTGTTTTTAAAAGCATTTTTTGTCTGTAAATTTTGTACGAATAAAATCTGATTTTTTTAATAAACTTATACTTAATAGTAGCGTTTTTAAAAAGTGCTTAAAGGTGCTTATTTTCGATTTTTGTTATTTAAAAGCCCTTAAAGGTGCTTTTTTCCATGGATGTTTTTAAAATGTGCTTAATTTTCCCTTTCCGAAATGTGATCTTTTTATTTACCTTGTTGATTTTCGCCACAAATTATGCAAAAAAAACATTGCCCTATTCAATGTTTTCACAATTAATTCAACCCCAATCTAGTTCCGCTTACCGCCGATCTGTAGTGTATGAAAACACCATTTGTTTTACATTTTTGATGAAATACTTGCAGGTCCGCACTTGCGTATACTGAGTTGGATTCAGTGGTAAGGATTTTTGACTGTCATGTGCAACTCTACTGCATTTTGCAAGAGGTTCTCAATTTCAGACTTCATTTTCCGCTCTCTGTAGTTGAATCGAAAAATCTCTCGAATTTTTGCTGATTATGGGGACCAACTAAACATTATCAAATTTTTTTCTTTATTAACGATGGAAAATTTCATTTCTCTTGTTAATTTGATTGTTTGTGTCATGCTATCGTCTTCGTCACTGTAAATAAGGCAGGATAAAACCATCAATTGTCAAAAACTTGCCAGCCCTGTCTAATTATGATATTTTTCAAAGTGCTTAAAAATATTTTTTGAGTGCTTAAAAAGTGCTTATTTTTTGTTGAAAAATTTGGCTATGTTGATGGAAATGGGATTAGGCATAAAATATATCAATTGAAATATGGATAATGTAAGCTACAATCTTTGAAAGAATTTCAAACCAATCAATTTTCACGGAATCATTTCAATTTTTACGGAAGGTATATTTTAGTAAAGCTTTTCTATCCGAAATTTTTATTTTATATTTTGTGCACAAGATATTACTAAATTTTATGATTTTTTAAACGAATTGGCATTTAAATCTTATTTCTATTAAATTTATTTTATTTTATAAAAAGCTTAGCATAAAATGTCTTATTTACTTTCATGCTCCTTTCATTTTTTATTCAAAGGCTAATTTTTCAATGGCTATTTTTTTAATTTTTTCTTTATTTTAGATTTACCATTTCTAATGAGTCTCAAAATCAACCAGTTGTCAACTTTGCTTTTCAAGAACCAGAAAATGATCCAAGGCATTTTTGTTATCTTTGGGTTTTTAAAGGTCACAGCGCAGAAGAAGATAAACCGTAAGTTTTGGAATTTTAACGGATATACATTTATCTTTCTTAAAAACATAAACTTAACTATGACGCATCTTATTTGTCATAGGTAGGTACAGTGCCCGCCATCAAAATTAATTATTAAAATCACTTTCGTTTTATGCTGTTTTTGATTTTATTAAGCTGCTGATTTTATTAAGAGGCGATTCAACATTTGAAAAAAAATCTAATTTTTAAGATATATTCTAAATGCACACAATTTAAAAGCTGAAATAATGACAACATTAATGCTTTATTTTAACTAATTTAATTATTTTAATAAAGTGAAACCCTACGTAAGATTAAATTTACAAAATTTTTGCAAAAAACCGATCAATGGTAGCTTGAGTTGCAGTATTTAAAATTAACTTTTCAACATCATTTTAGAGTTTATAGAAGTTTTTATAGTTTTTGTTATTTCCTCCTCTTTGTTCTAAAGCTTGGCGCAATACATTAAGTGCTTTTCTGATATCCATTGAAGATGGCACTGATGAGTTTATTTCATCTTTTGAGTCTGATTCCTCCATTTCTTGATTGGAAATAACTTTGCAATTTTTGATGTCTGTAACAATTTCAGAATCAGATTTTTCTCCTGATGCTTGCAGGTTATTGTCAATAGCTACGTAACGTGAAAAATTCTTGTCCATTTAAATTTCTTCATTGCTGAGCATTTCTTCAAAACAGTTATCAGCTCCATCGCCAGTGCTTAATTCACACCTTTTAAAGCAATTTGATATTGTTTGGGTTGAAACAATGTCCCATGAGTTACGAATCAAATGCATTGATTCCAAAATCGTAAGGGATNGCCATTTATTAAAATCACTTTCGTTTTATGCTCTTTCTGATTTTATTAAGAGGCGATTCAACATTTGAAAAAAAAAAATCTAATTTTTACGATATATTCTAAATGCACACACTTTAAAAGCTGAAATAATGACAACATTAATGCTTTATTTTAACTAATTTAATTATTTTAATAAAGTGAAACCCTACGTAAGATTAAATTTACAAAATTTTTGCAAAAAACCGATCAATGGTTGCTTGAGTTTCATCATTTTAGAGCTTATAAAAGTTTTTATAGTTTTCGTTATTTCCTCCTCTTTGTTCTAAAGCTTGGCGCAATACATTAAGTGCTTTTCTGACTTCCATTGAAGATGGCACTAATGAGTTTATTTCATCTTTTGAGTCTGATTCCTCTTTCTTGATTGGAAATAACTTTGCAATTTTTGATGTCTGTAACAATTTCAGAATCAGATTTTTCTCCTGATGCTTTCAGGTTATTGTCAATAGCTACGTAACGTGAAACATTCTTGTCCATTTAAATTTCTTCATTGCTGAGCATTTTTTCGAAACAGTTATCAGCTCCATCGCCAGTGCTTAATTCACACCTTTTAAGGCAATTTGATATTGTTTGGGTTGAAACAATGTCCTATGAGTTACAAATCAAATGCATTGATTCCAAAGTAGTAAGAGATTTCGATAGTTTGTTTGCAGTTAAGAGTTCAGAAGAGCTGTCACAGTCTATGTCACTAATGATTTTTTGAACAACCATTTTTCTGTAATGAAACTTGAATGATCTTATGATTCCCTGATCAAGGGGTTGAGTAATAGCTGTAGTGTTGGGTGGCAAAAGCACTAATTTAATGTTTTTCAAACGCAAGTCCTCATCAGCAGGGTGCGCACAACAATTGTCTAAAAGTAAGACGACCTTTTCATTTTTCAGCTCCTTGTCCCATTCAAGAAGAAATTTTGTGAAGATGCTGAATGTCATCCATGGGTTATAGCTGTTGGCATAACTGGTGGGCAGGTGTTTCACTCCTTTAAAATATGGAGGTTTTTAACTCTTTCCTATCACTAAAGTATTTTTTTTCACAGTTCCTGTCATGTTGCATGTTAGCAGCACGATTAGTCTTTCCTTTATTTTTTTACATCCACCAGTCGATTCATTTTTAAACAGCAGTGTGTGTTCAGGAAGTGCTTGGAAAATTAATCCTGTTTCATCTGTGTTGAAAATTTTCTCTGGTTTATAGTTTTTGATGAGTGTTGGCCACATGTTGTTTTCCCAATCGGAGGAAGAGCTAAAATCAGCATCTTGCTTTTCACCCTGCAATTTACAATGGACAATGTTGTTGCGGTCTTTCCATCGGGTTAGCCTCCCATCTGTAGTTTTAAAATCAGAATCACCAAATAAGTTAGCAAAGTCCTGCGCTTTGTGAAATAAAATTCCACAGGAAATTGGAATTCTTTGTTCGCATGCATTTTAAAACCATTCTAACAGAGCCTTTTTAATTTCCTCCGATTTTCCTTCACGCTTACGATTTCTTGACAGATTTCCATTCTTTTTTATTTCCTCGGAAATATTTATCCTTTGTTTCAGAATGTTGAAAAGAGCAGTTTGGGAAATCCGTAATTTAATTGAAGCTTCACGTTGACTACATTTAGGAAGCTTATCATAGTTTTGCAGCACTTCGAATTTATCTTTGAGACTCAAATCCTTCCTTTTCAGCATGCTGATAAAATTTAACACCAAACGAACTTAAAAATGATATGTGCTCTAACTCTAACTATAATTTACTCAAACGGCTTAAACAATATGGAACATGGGCACAGACAGTTTTTGGAAATCTATTCATGTTCTCTGTTAAGATAGAACTCAAAAGAAACTTCTCTCCCTTCTATGGTTCATTCAATAAAAAGTAAGATAAGAATTCGACCCCCTGTTGCTTACCACCCACATTTTTCCTTAACTCTTACACTATGTATATCGCAGGAAAGTGCTAACCACACCTGTTTCACAGTTATGTGAGTAACTGTTGCTCCTTCTAAAAAAATCTTTAAACTTCGAAAAAATAAAATTTTATAAATAAGAACAAAAAAAACTGAAATATTGCACTTTTGATTTATTATGTAGTCAAAATTTTGGTTTTAAAAATCGGCGGCATTGATTTTATTAAAGGATGTTTTTAACATGTATTAATGTTGTAACAATTCGGTTCTTGCCGATTTGATTTTATAAAGCGGCTGATTTTATTAGCGGCGGGCACTGTACTTATTTTTACTTCTCACCGATTTTATTCAGTTTAATTTTTGAAGAATAACTATAAGTAATTTGCATTTAATTGTTTTTTGCATTATTCTGAAATTTTAAAGACATGTTCCTTTTTATTCATAGTTTTTAAGTTTTTGTACTATTTTTAGATTTTTTTAAATGAATATTTTCTCCCAGTGTAATTCAATTAAAAAGTATGCGTCGGTCATTTCTTGCATACTATATTTGTGTTATTTTTGTTATTTAAGATAGAAAATTATACCTATTCAAAATTACAAAAATTAATAAATTTTTATAAGTTTTATAATTTTTTTATTGCAATTTAACTGTGAATATTATTTAATGAAAAAATGAGGATCACATTAATCCAATCTCAACATCATCATAGTTAGCCAGACAGCCCAATGTGAACCAATGCCTTCCTCTGAAGATCACTGCATGACGACTTCCGATCTAGACATTAATGTATTTTGTTGTGTGCCCTGTGGCAGAAATTTTTTGACTTTCTACAACAAACCTTTCTAATACTAATATCTTTCTGCAGGATACTTACAACATACATGTACTTACAACAAATATACATGTTATTGATTTAAAGTAACAAAAACGTCAACTTAAAAAAAAAAAAAAGAAAAAAATTGCGCTTAAAATAAAATGATAAAACTTTTTTTTTTTAATATGTAAAATTTTTTTATTCTAATATTTTGCATTTTGTAGGAGGAAAACGCACCAATTATTTCCTGTTTTTCATGTTGTAAATCATCATTGCACTAAAACGAAAATTTATTAAAAAATCTTGAAATCCGAATTTATAACTACTGAAAAACAAAGATTGCGGCAAAGTCATGCGAATCAGACTCTTTGTAAATTGGTTACTAAATGAATGTTTTTATTTCAAGATTCAATTGTTGTAATAAATAATATCATGGTAAAAAAATAAGATTTAAAAACTATATGAAAATCAACAGTAATAACTATACAGGGTGCGTAGCGTTTTTAAAAAGTGCTTAAAGATGCTTATTTTCTATTTTCGTTTTTTAAAAGCCCTTAAAGGTGCTTTTTTCAATGGGTGTTTTTAAAAAGTGCTTAATTTTCCCTTTTTCAAAATGAGATTTTTCCTTTACCATGTCGATTTTCACTACGAATTATGCAAAAAGACACAGTTCACATTATTCTATTCAACGTTTTCACAATTAATTCAATCCCTATCTATTTTGGTGTATTGTCAGTCGTAGCGTAGGAAATTCGTTTTACATGATTCAAAATTTCATAATTTTCAAAAAACAAGGCCGAAAGTTTTTTTTTTCTTTGACATGTCGGTTAAAACAATATAAAACTGTCAATTGTCAAAAACTTTACAACCCTGCCTAATTATGAAATTTTTTTAAAGTGCTTAAAAAATTTTTTGAGTGCTTGAAAAGTGCTTATTTTTTGTTGAATAATTTGGCTACACACCTTGCTATATTAAAAAAATTGAATGAAACTCAGTAACGTTCTGCGACAACGTCGTTGTGTCACCACGGGGGTTGTGGGTTTTGTATGCATTTGATCAGAATAAGGTTTTTTTTTTCTCCAATCTCATTTCTTAAAAAATTTTTTTGTTGAATAAATGAAATTACTTTTAATTTACTGTAAACATAAATTTACTTATTATGCTTGTTATTTTGATTACAGTCCTGAATCTGTGTCCAGTGCAACTATGTATTCCATGGCATTTCATCAGCGAGAATATGTTAAAGCATTTGGTGCTCTTTATACAGTGAGTAAATATCTCAAATTACCTATGGAATGTGCTTTTTCAAAAGTATATGGCTAGTAAACTCCTTCTTCCTAAATAGATTGGAAAAATGTGAAGTAGTCATCTGACCATTAACTTTTTATCCATAGTATTTTGGCCACTGCATATTACTTCAATCAAATAAGTCACTTATGCCTTTTTATTGATATTTATCATTTTTCTAAATAAATATTTATTCTGGTATGTAACATGTAATTGAATGAACTAATTTTAATTTTTATCCTGTATTAGTAAACTAATTTTAAAATATTTGTCCTACATTAAATTGAAATTTGATCAAATTTTAATTTTTTTCATCAAAAATGTTTGTTTTTAATTATAATTTTTCAATTATCCATTATTTTATGGCTAACATATATTTTGACTTCTGTGTTATAAAAGTTTTCAAACAGGGCTCGAAAAACAGCCCGTCCGCCCGTCCTCGGTAGTCAAAAATTCCCAGCGGACAACGAGTTTCTCGAATCCGACGTCCGCGCGGACGGCCAGTTTCCCGTTAATGGTTGTGATATATTTTCAAGTTTTGTTATCTTACAAGAGTCTAGCCCCTCACTTCTAAAACGAATCTCTAATCTAGAAATACAGGAACATTCTGCGCATGGTGGAATTGATGTTTTCTCTGTCTGGGTGTACTGCAGCGGTCGAAAGGGGCTTTTCACCGATGAACTTACAAAAAAAAGAAAGAAAAAAAAAACACATTACATACTGGTGTGAAACAAGAAGCGTTAAGTGCAATTATGAACATCTACCTAAATGGAAAACCCTTTTCAGATTTCTGTGCAGAAACCTCTGTAAATCATTGGCCTGATTGTGGAACTAGCAAACGTCACATTTGATTCATTAAAAAAACACTGTACACTCGGATAAGTTGACATTCCAGATAATTTGACCTTTGTCATTTAAATTATTTCATAAAAGAAGTAAATCATTTCATGAAAGAATTACTAGGTTACTATTAGCAACCTAGTATTTCTTTTATTACTGTATAATGTAATCCTAGTATTTGTAATCCTAGTAACTACTAATTCATTGTGCAATTTATATAAATGTTTGTAATAAATGAGAGAAAATTATATTTTAATTTATTTAGAAGCTACGGGTTAGTTTCAAAGGAGGACGGGTACATTGTTGGACAAGCCGTCCTCGGGGACGGGTAAAATTTCTGAGGTTTTTCGAGCCCTGTTTTCAAAGCATTCTAAGTTGTCCATTTTTTTTTAACCAAGTGCTCTTTAATCTTATGATTGCACATTGTGAATTATAGGAGCTACAAGTATGTAGTAAAAGATTTGAACTGCCTTTTACAAATGATGTGTATCATAACTCACTCATCAATCCCTCTATGAATAGTCGGCTTTTGTCTTGCCAGGTTGTAAGTCAGAAAGATTTATCACATTCTCATGAAAATATCTCAGGAAATGAAAGTAAGTTTATTTTATTTAATTTCTTACTATTTTTTTTTAGAAATTAATTACTCTGAATTATAATTTATAGACTTCGATTATTAATTAAGATTTACTGTAGGATAATTAAAGAGGCAATACATTTCAAGGGAAACAAAAATTTGAGTTTCTAATTCAAGACAAGAATAAAACAGTCCTGGAAAAAAGTATAGTCACTGAAAAAAGTGATAAAACGATAGAAGAAAGGACTTATATGGTTTTATTTTATAATATAGCCATAGATTGTGACATAATAAAAGCAAAAGTAAATTACTAGCAAAAAGCATTACTTTATGTGTCATAATAAGATTTCAACGCAAAGTAAGTTGGAAAAGTTTAAAAATCTGCACAGTTATTATATTAATAATCGCACACACAATGTCAGATCCTTTGTTTTTGATTACATTTATCAATCTCATAATCTGGTTCCAAGACATATTGATCGCATCAATCAAATCCGACTCTGTAAATGTCTCATCAATCAAATCCGAGATTTGTAAACGTCTCTTACTTAAATGCCTCTTATGCTTTTTCTAACGGACACAGATCTGGACTACGAGATGACCAGCCGAGAGATTTAACCTCATTTGCTTTCTCCCTGGATTTTGTTGAATATGAAGTATGAACTGCCGCATTGTCTTGCTGGAAGGTTCAGTCTCTGGATGTTATAAAAGGAGCAACAGGCAATAAATTTCTTTCCAATATATCTTGATTCATAATTGAATTAATTTTAAGCTTGTATGAATGTAATTGGAGTTGTACCACCTGTTGGAAAAACAGCTTAAATCTTAATGAGCACACTATCAAATTGAATGGTCGGTAAATAGGTGTGCTTCTGTTTGTAGGCCGTACCAAAAATATTGACAGTCATCTGGTCCATCCAAATTGAAATTTTCATCAGAAAATATCACGTCACTCTAATTCTTATCTTTCTTATAATGTTTCTTTGCAAATGCATATTTGTTTAGTTTAGTAGGCGAAGATTTTCTTTTATTTTTAAATTGAATGTTCGGATTATTACTGAAATAGTTTCTAACCGTGCGGCTGCTGCATGGTAACTGAATTTCATTTTTTAATTGTGCAGATGACATCTTACAGTGACAAGCAAGCTTCGTCTTTCTCTACTTGATGAATCCCCCCCCCTTCCAATTCTCTGTTTACTGCCTTATCTTTCAGGATTCCTGAGGTAGCTATTCACTGGACCCTTGGACCTTCCTATTTTATTTTTGCAATTTGAGAACCACTCAAGCCCATTTCTTTGAACGCTGAAATTCTACCTTGTTTGCATTCTGTTAAATGAGTTCCTATTGGCATTGTATTGCTTGGACAGACCGCTAAAATCTGCTTTTATACAACTTGTAATAGCTTCTTGTATTGGAAAAAACAGCTTATATGCATGTATTATGCCTGACAACGTAATTAGTGTCGACTTTAATGTAATTAGTATTTGTTTTTTAATGATCATGTTAACTTTGCCATGATTTAAATAATATGTGGAATAAAAATAAAATTTTCATGCAAAGCAATTATCCTCTACATTTGGAATTGGAAAATAAATGTGCATATTCTGCCATAGTAGTAGTGTTTGGTTTCATAATTGGTCACTTTTTGCTCGGTTTTAAAGTTTTTCCCAGCACTGTATTGCAAAAGAATTAATCCAAAACCTGATTGTAGACTCATGACTAAAATTTTACTTGTTAAAAATAATTAATTATTGTGATTTTTTTTCTCAAAATGTTTCTTTATTCTATGATTCACTTATTTAAAAGTAGAATTTTAATTCTGTCTTAACTATGCGTTCTTTTGACTCATCCACTTTTTTTGAGTAGACAATACCATAAGAAATCTACAATTGGAAGAATAGTTAAAATGGGTGACAAATAGTCTTTTTCCAGGGTTCCCATGGGTCAGGGAGAACAGGGAAAACCTGGAATTGTCAGGGAATTTTATTTGAACTCCAAAAATCAGGCAATGGTCAGGGAAAGCTACAATGTTTTTTACAAAAACTTGGAATATTCCTATATTATACCTGAAAAATGGCCTGTCTTAAAATTGTCTGTAAAACTAATCAGTTATTAATATTAGAGTTAAATAATTCTTACATCTATTACAATTATTTGTTGTAAAAATTTCACATTTTAGTCAAACTGAAATGTTCACATCCTCTTTTAATAATAGTTTTTTACACAGAACATCTAATATTTCACGTAACAAATAAAAGAATCAAGGCTTTCTGATAAAAATATGGTTTCAATTTTCATTGAAATTTACCTGGAAAAGTCAGGGAATTTTTTTTCTGCAAATTGGGTGGGAACCGTGTTTTTATTACTCAACCATAAAATAAGAATTTTTTATTACTCAACCATAAAAAGCATAATTCTATGATCAAATGTTTATCAGGGTATAAATTTTAGTTTTAAAAAGTTGCTAGTTAGGCTGAAATTTTCACTCACCATTTTGTCACGAAAAATATGAACTATTTCTTTATTGTGAAGAGATATAAAGAACTTTTTGGTGATTAAAACTAGAAAGGACTGCAGAAAAGTTTAAACATAATATTTATTGCAATATGTTTTTATTCATATAATATAATTTTAAGTTAAATTAAAATATTAAATTTAAAATACAATTTCTATGCGGTTTTTGTGGTTTCAGAAAACATCCACGTAATATTACAACAAAAAAAAGATATCAGAAATATTCCCATATGTTTAAGAGGAATTACTACATTAATAATTTAAAATTTTAAGTCTGGAAAAAGTGAAATCATGTAAACCGGAAATAAACCATAAAGTTTCAAATGCTGTATTCTATTTTTCAAATGCTAACTAATCATGGCAATGTTACTTCCCCATTTAGTATTTTTGCCATATTTTGTTTCGATTTTGATATTTTGAAAGAAGAAAAATCTGTTCTCAGTATACATGAACTCACTTTTCCTTAAGCTTATATTTTTAAATTATTAATGTAGATAAATACTTATATATAATGTAATTATATTTTTAGATTATTAATGCAGAATTAATTTGTCGTGAAAATTTTCTCTTGCAATATAGCATCTACTTAACACTTCATGATCCTTTACTGCTGTATTTCAGCTGGACCTTAAAATAACCCCTCACCATTCGCCATATGGCAAGTCAACAAAAAGTGGCGACTTAAATTAAATAAACAGACAATTACTTTTTCCCATATTTTTTTCTTTCGAAAATCATTTAATAATAAAAATACAGTGCACCAAAAAAAAGGACCACCCTGAGTAATTTTTTATCTAATTTTTGGATCTTCAGGTTCTAGGGCTAAATTTTAATACTTTGAGGGGGGGGGTCTCAAATATGCTAATTAAGTTGTGCAGTTATGAAATCAGCCACAAAAAACATATTTCTCTGAATATACGTACCTTTATTTTTGACCAATTTGCATTTCTGACCCCTAAAATATAGGGTTGACAACAATCTGGGAAATGTGGTTTTCATAGATCGTGAGAGTCTCGTTAGTGATCTAAAATGTGGACCCCTTAATGTTAATTTCACTTTTTGCATATTTTGCCATATTCCAAATAATCTTAAAAAAATTTAATACCAAATATGCAATATAGTTATATATAAATTTTCTAACAACAGCAATGTTTTGTTTACATTTTTTGAATAATTTTGTTATGGGAAAAACTTCATTTGTCATAGCTTTAAAATTTATTTCGAGTCTAAAAGTATATATAATGTTTATACATACTTTTGTTCTGAAAAGGAATTATTTAATAGGTTGTGAAGCAGCAGAGGAAATGAGCTTGTGCTTCATTACCTGGGAAGTATGGAACCAAATTGGAAGTTATCCATCATCCTATCATTTTGCTGTGTTTGATTTAAATCAATGGTATCAAGCTCAAATGCCATGCAGTTTTAGGTAACAAACAACTGCTTTTAATTTTTTTTGAATAAATATTTATTAATTTTACATATTTATTATTTTAATTTCTTTTAAGTTTTTATCAAAACCAGCACTATTAAAAAATATTTTCTTCAATTTTTTGTTATAAAAGTTTTGTTAAATTTTGTTTAAAGCTAGCTGTTTACTTCATTTATTTAAAAGCAACAAAATATTTTTTTTAACTGTAACTTCATGTGATATGTTTGCTATACAATATGTCTATTTTGCAACACATAGCTTTTGGTGCCTGCTCCAAATTTCTTCAAATTTTGGCAAGTTTAACGCTAACTGTTGTTAATCATTTAACTGTTGATTTTTCGATCAATTTAATTTATAATTTTAACATGATGTCATTCTTTATATAATAATTCTTTTATCAATATTTTAAATATTCCTTTCAGAAAATTGAACTACAATGAAAAATTAAAAATTTTAAAGAATAGTAAAATACACTTCACAATTTTTACGAACTTGAAGAACATTTTTGCTCAATGTAGTTTGTTCATTTTACTTTAAATGCAAATTAGAATTTTTCAATTTCTAAATATATATTTTATATGAATTTTTATTTTGATGGAAAATGACAAAAAATATTGTTGGTACTGCATTAAAACTCATTTTGCATTGAAATGGAAATTTTGTTTTAAAAACATTTGCATTCTTCACGAAATTGTTTATTTATAGTAAAAAGAGAGAATATTTGCACTCTTGTTTTAAGATGAAAATAGAAAGTATAGGCTAAGTTTAAATACAAATTTGGCGATGATAAATTTTTTAACAGCATTTATTTTGAATGCAGATATTTACACAATCTCAGCTCAAATAGTTTAGCGTTAACGTTTATCTATTAGGAGGTTATAAGCATAACAACTTAGTTAAGTAATAAATTGCTGCTAACGTATTTGCATAATTAATTGACCCTAATTGGTCAGAGCATCTTTCTATACCAGTTATAAAAAATTAACTAAATATTAAAACAGAAAATTAAAAGAGGTCTTGCCAGAATGCCATAAACTTGCTACATTGCTTTGGCGGGAAAATGACCCATTACTTGTATACTAAGGTAGTTGGTAATGAAGTGTAATAAACTATTGGTTCCGGCAATACATTGTACATTGTGTCTCATAAAAAAGGAATATAAGTCCAAGAAAAAATATTATGAAATTTTTACAGCTTATATTTTTTTTTGTTCACTTTGTTTTATTCAATAAAAATAATGTCCAATACTCATGTGTACTGTAGTGCTCTAAATTAATTTTGAAAATGTCTCAATATATAATGGATATAACATTTAAGAAAAAATCTTGTTAGATTAATTACTCAAATTCAGTGTTATTTGTGTGTGGCAATGGAGAAAATTAAGAGTGAGACTATGCGTTGTAAAAAGAGATAAAAACCATTCTGTGTGTATAATTTTTTTTTCCATGCTGTTTTGTGATCATTCTTGGTCAATTAAAATGTCCAATACTCGTGAGTACTGTTGTATCCCAAAATTAAATCTGAAAATGTCTCCATAATGGTTAAAACATTTAATAATAGTAAATTTTAAAGATATTTTGTAAGATTAATTACTTAAATTTGTCAATATTCTATAAAGCAGTACTATCTGTGTGTAGCAATCTAAACAGCTAAGTGCAGGACTGCATAGCGAGAAAAGATTACGGTTAGGTAAGAACTTACCTGCATTCTGTACCAAGTCTTAAGTAGGAATACTCATCTAGACTTAGGTTGTCTGTGCTTTAGGAGTTAATATGTATTTGCTTAATTATATTTTGTACAAATGTAATGATATTTTTACTGAACATTTATTTCTAATTATTGTAATGATTTCCATTTGTATTCAGGTGTGACCCTTCCTCCTTAAGTCCATATATTGGTATATTTTCTCTTGAAGAAACCAAAAGAGTTCTGGGTAAAAAAGAGCTTCTAGTGAGTAATGTTTAATATATTTTTAAATTTTTATTACTTGTGACTGTTTATTGTACATTTATTTATAAAGGGTATCCTAACAAGAGCAGAAAATTTAACTTTTTAAATAAACACAGCCAAATTTTAATGTCACAAACTTCTATAAAATGAATTCCAATTAAAAAAAAAATTTTTTTCTTGACCAATTTAATGTATCATTTCTTGAAATCCAAATAAAGAAAGAAATTTCTACAGTTGAATTCATATTTTTTATTCTTGATTGTAAGTTTAAATATATGTGTATAGATACCTGCTCATAAAATAGGAAAGAACTTTGCAATTTTGGTGGATCCAAAAGAAACTGATTTTTAAGAGAAAGTAATTATTGTTAACAAAAATATTTCAGTAAGGGGTGATTGTGTGAAATCAAAAATATTAAGAAAAAGGTCCAGGCATCTGAAGCTATATTAAATAAAGAAAATGACAAAATGGTGAAATTTTAACAAAACCTAAAATCAAATGAGAAAACAGCATTACTGACAGTGTTAAAAATATATATTTTTTAAAAGTAAATATATGTTATGCAACTTTTGAACCACCAGTACAGTTATCATTTTGTTATTTTGACTAAATTGAAAAAAATTTGTTTCTCAATATCCAAATTTTCAATGGCATGAAATCTTAAGTGTCTCCCTTCTTATTTTAATATTGAGGTTCAACTGTCGTTTTTTTTTTTATCTTTCTATTTTAATATGATAATTTTTATTTAATGATACAGTGAAACAGTTATTTCATAATTTTGTGTATGAAACCACATAAAAAAATATGACAAAAGATCTATAAGCATATAGTGCGTAGCCTTTTTGAAAAGTGCTTATTTTCGTTTTTAAAAGCCATTGAAGATTTTCATTGGATGTTTTTAAAAAGTGCTTAATTTTCCCTTTTCCAAAATGAGATTTTTTTCTTTACCATATCAATTTTTGCCACGAATTATGCAAAATGCGCGTTTTTCACATTGGTTATTCAATGTTTTCACAATTCATTTCGGCATACCATCTGTTTGTAGCATATTTAAGCACCAAACATTTTAAATGTTTGATGAAATACATGCAGTCTGTGTGTGCGTAGACTGAGCTAGATTCGGTGGGAAGGACTCTTGCATTCTCATGAGCAACTTTGCTGTATTTTGCTAAAGATTCTCAGTTTTAGGCTTCATTATCTGCCATCTGAAATCGAGTTGAAAAATCTCTTGAATTTTTACTAACAACGGGGACCAACTAGACATTACCAATTTTTTCACCTAAAAGCAAAGGAAAATTTTATTTCTCTTGTTAATTTCATTGTTGGTAAAGCACCATTGTCTTCGTCACTTGCAAGCCAATGACTTTCTCACACTCTTTATAGATCAGTACCATAATCCTCGAACTTTGGGACTGTTCACTAATTACATATTATCCTGTATCCTTATCCTGTGCAAACTTGTTCCTCAGTCGTGACTGGTTGAACCAACTTGGCATGTCTTTATCTCTTTACTTATGCCATTTGGTGTTTGGTTATTGAGGAAGATTCTTGTTTTAGGGAACCAAAACTATAGTATGTCCATTTCTGAAATTTATTTGTTCTGTATTCACATTGTTTTTCACTTAAGTATAGATTGGTGTTCAAAATATTAAGAAGAAAAAAAAGTATGAAGAAATGGAAAAAAAAAATCTAATGTAACTTTAAAAATTATAATTTTCATTTGTTGTATATCTAATAATATGCTGTTTTATTTTTAATGCATGTATTTTAATTACATCCATTTAGTTTTATTATGAATAGTTTTATTATGGATAATGTAACAAGCAAATTGGTTTTCTGTCTTTACTGTTCATTTATATCTATACTATTCATTAATGCTTGATTTTAATTAACAAAATTTCATTTATTCAGTCATTAATTTGTTATAATTGAATAACATTATTAATTATTTTATTTAGAAGTATTAAGTATTTTATTTGCTGTTAAATATTATTATTACCTTTTATCAATTGTTAAATCGTTTTACACAGACATGCTGTTCCATACATGATTGATGTAGACTTTAAGATTAAATAGAAAGTTTAAACTTCCTGCACTTGTTTGGTTACATTGTACTTTGTAATAGATTAAATAATTGCTATGTTTTCAATTGTTAAATAATTGCTATGTTTTCAATTGTTAAATAATTGCTATGTTTTCAATAATTGCTATGTTTCTGTTGTTTCTGCCAACTGTTTTCGCTGAGTTAATAATTTAAATTTTTTTTTTTAAATTCTCTGAAAACTGCTTTATTAAATGTCAGGAAAATCTAGTTGTATACTTGTTGTCATACTATGTAATGTTTTATTATTACTTGTTTATGTAGGGTGTATTCACTGTTCCCCAAAGCATAAAAAAATTTAAATCCCTGCAAGTGTCAGAAGAATTTTTCTATCCTTCTTCCTTAGGATTCCGTAAGTATTAGTTTTTTTGCAAACTCTTCCCAAATTTTTTCATGACTGTCATCTCTACTTGATTTTTTGAGTTCTTCATGGGTTCCTGGTTGAATATTAATTTTTAAGCTTTTCTTTTTTTAATGTTTTAATATTTATTTTTATTTAAACCCCTATTTTCAAATTATTAAAGAATATTTTGAAACTATCTCAGTTTAATTCAAAATAAATTCAAAAATGTATAAAATAATTTTCTATTTTTAAAAAAAAAATTCCTGAAATTGTGAAAGTCCTTATCATTTTAGTATGTTTACTCAATTAATTGCTTGTTTGAGTATATAAATAAATACTGCTGCTAAATAATGGAGTAAGCATACAAAAATGTTTAAAATAAAATACAAAATGTGCAAAATAAATACAAAAATGTAGAAAATTCATAAAATTGTGAAATTCCTTATCATTTTAATATATTTACATAATTTATTACTTGCTTGAGTATATAAATAAGTTTTTAAGCTTTTCTTTTTTTAATGTTAACTTATTTTTTTATTCAAAACTCTGTTTTCAAATTATGGAAAGGTAGATTAAAACTATCTCAGTTTTATTCAAAGTAAATACTGAAATGAAATAAACATAATTAAAGCATTTTATATTATAAAGTCCATTATCAATCATAAATAGAAAATATTGTACTTAATTTAAATTTTTGGTTCTAAAAGTCCCAAATTTTTCTGTGTCTAAAATATTTTAAGTCTTACATATTTATTAGCATAAAATTTATATTGTTTGTTAAAATTTACTAGGTTTTTTTTTTCTTTGTGTTAGCAGCTATGTTCTTTATTTTATTTTCATGTATTATTTATTTATCTTAATAAAAAGGTATCTTTCTTGTAAGTTGTCTAATTTTCTCTTATCTTTCCAGAGACCCTTAGTTTCTCTCATCATGGGTTATGTAAAACTACTTATTTTGGCTTTCAAAAGCATGTAAGTATTTTTTTCTACAAAGAATTGACTGTTTTATCATTATATATGATTTAATAAATATTATAATGCATGGTTTATTTTTGACATTAAAAAAAAAAAAAAACTCTGATAAAGCATCTTTTTAAATTATCCAATTTTACAGCATGCCTTATTCTTTAAATGCCTGTTTTATAATTTGATCACACCTTTAATTTCTTTTGATTGGACTTGAGTTTTTCTAACCACAGTATTTTTTGTTAACCGATATAAATATAAACTTGGACATAATTCACTGTTTATTTTAGCTTTTGTTTGAAATGGCTGATCTTGGTCCCAAAGTTTTGATAAGTCCTAAAGAGGTGTTCTCTTCTCTAGTTAAATGTGGCTTGGTGTCTGATACTCATGGAGGAATAGATAAGACTCCTTTAGTATGCAAATTCTTTTATTGCTCTTATCAGTATTTATGTGTACAAATGCAGATTTTGAAAATTTAACTTTTTTATTTTATAGTTTATTATATTATGCCATTTTATGAGTTTATTTTAATTTAAGAGTTTCAATAATTATTGTACACATTGTATTTGTGATTTTTTTTGTTTGTTTCAGGTTTCACAAAGAGAGTCAATATTGCAACTTGCTTTAGAATATCACTTGCCATTTTTCTTCATCAAATGCCTTAAAGAATGGCGATACAGTGGTTGGTTCTATTTTGTTCATTTAAACTAATGTTTGATCATATTTTTAGTGCTTATTCGTGTCATTATAAATTGCGGATACACTTTGACTTGTTTCATTTAAGCTGAAGGTTCCCCTTATATTGGTTAAGAAAAATAATTAATATAGTCCGTGCATGTAAATAGGGCATAAAAGAGAAAATGAAGAAAAAATTCAGTTAAACTTGTTCAGGACGTTTCCATTTAAAATGTTTTTCCTTTTGAATAATAGTTTGTCATATGTAGCTAGAGGCGTTTATTTATTATGACTTGTTCAAAAGCACACAGAGCAACAGTTCATAATTGGGAAGCACCTCTATTGGCGTATGAGGACGTTTCCAGGCATAAGTTCCTATGCAACAACCAAAAATAGACTAAAAATGTCATTTAAATCAAACTAGCATGGAGTGAAAAACCAATAGCAGGTTTAAAATCAGTGAGGTGATAATATTCAAGATCTAATGAAATATCTCATACAACAGAAAACAGAAAGAAAAAAAAATTCTCTAGAATTATTAATAGATTTTTTTTAAACTAACACTTCTTCAATGGCGCAACAGCCCTGGATGGGGACTGGTCTTCTTTAGAATTCCGTTCCATCATGTCCTGTTCTTGGTTAAGTTTTTCCAATTTGTTGTTACAATAGTTTTGAGATCTTTCCTGGGTACCAGGTGGTTTGGCCTCGAAGATTTTCTTAGTTTTTTGATTATCATCCTATCCTATTAGGCATCCTGCCCTTTTAAACCTTTTTAACTGGAGCCTTTTTACAGCAATAAATTTAATACAGCAATAATTTATGGATTTCAGAAATTTTTTTTTCCATCAATAATTGTCGCATTTCATTATTTCAAATTTTTTTCTTTTTAATGGCGGGCACTTGGGGTTTGTCCCATTGTCCACAGAAATGCCAGAACTTCTACTCTCTTCTCGTTACCCAGTGAGTACCTGTGGCGAAGCCACGGCGGTGGAGCAGCGTCTCCCACGTCATACAACCACAAACCCGTTTATAGGGCGGAACATAGAACACAGAGAAAGAAAGAAACATCCATGCCCTGAGCAGGATTCAAACCCGCGGCCAATGGCTCTGCAATCAGACACGCTAACCACTCGGCCACCTGGTCGGCATTTCAAATATACTTCTCAATACTTTTCTTTCAAATCTAGCAAGCAGCTCTTTATCCTTTTAGGTCATTGTTCATGTTTTGGAGGCATATGTAGGGATGGGGCTTATCAAAGTTATGTAAAGGAGTTTTTTTGTTTTGTTTTTGGTGAATATTGTATTTTAAATATTTTTGTAGACCAAAGAAAACATCTGTTGATGACTCTGTTCTGAGTCACTGGCATTGTGTTCATACCAGTGCCTAAATGCTTGAAGCTATTAACAACATCTAACCTTTATTTTCCTATTTTAAAATAAAGATTGTTGAAACTGGTACATGATCACAAAAAAAACTTTGATACCTCTTTAAAAAATATTTTCTAAAACTACAGAAATTTCGCAATAATTATTAAAATAAATAAATAAAACATTTTAATTTTAGAGCTTAGTACTATAGCTCATTCCAAATATCTGATAATCTGCAATTAACTCCTTATTATCATTGTCAAAATTAATTGTTCTTCATTTAAATTGCTTTTCAAAAAAAAATTGCATTTTATTTAGGATTAGTATATTATCACTGAAGGTCTGTTATTTCATATGGTAATGGCTGTACCCTATTACGGTATGATATGTGTTGACAACACAGATGCACTCAAAAACAATTTGTAAAGTATATTAAGCAAAAAGTTGTATAATTCGTGGAAATCATGGAGCTTAATGGCTATAGCATTAATACTGGAACTACTAAAATTGTCATTAATAAGCCTAAATGTATTTTTAACTTTTTCAAATTATTTTTAATTTCAACAATTTGTTTTGCATTTACAGTTTTTCCAACAAGCTTTCTAACTTCCATAATAAGTTTGTTTATTTATTTTTAGTTGTTATGAAAATAGGACTTATACTTGAAGTGACCAAAAGTTCAAGTTTACCAGTCATAAGTATCTTAGAGCTATTTTTTCTTAATTAGGATTTCAAAATTGCCCCAAAACAAAATTTATTTTGGAAATAACTAAAGTTCTCTACCAATGAGATGATTGAAAGCAAACAAATACTTATATATGCTAAAATCAAACTATACCCTAAATAAAGTATTTTTTCCATTTCAGTGTTGTATAAATTGTGTCTAAAACATTTCGACGGAATCTATAAATCTAGTACTTTTTTTCAATGCAAAATTTAGATTATAAAATGTATTTTTTACTGCTTCTTTTGCTTTTAAAAGTGACATTGCAAAATTAAAAAAATTAATTCTTAAAAAGATAGTTTTATTTGATTTGAAGTTTTCATGTAATATTTCTTATGACTGTTTTATATTATTCATTATTTGTTTCCTGTAGATTCCGTTCACGAGTTTTGCACATCAAAAGGTCTGTTGAATTGGGGATGGAAAAAAGTATTGGTCATCAAAAACTCGATAGATCGCTTGTGTAAGTTTGTTTCTTTGAAGTGTTTATTTTAAATACTTATAAATTATCAATATTATACAGTTTTTCAAATTCTTTTTTAAAACCAATTTAATTATAGGTGGGACACTCTTCAATTGTTCTGGTATAGACGTTGATAAAAGAGCATTGAAGTCATTATATGCATATAGAAGGCAGTTTTATTTGATAGATAATATTATATCTGGATATCAAAGGCATGTAACTCCAAGAACAGAACAAGGTGAGAGAGTTTGTATGTTATAAGACTTACATTTATAAACTATGATTTAAGGAAAAGATATTTCCTAACTTCTGAAAGGCTTTTATTAAAGTCATTGAATAACTAATAATCTTCAGCATTTAGTCTAAGTAATCATTCCTTGAGATTCAGGTTAATAGACAAAAATAATGAATGATTTTAGCCGAAGAAAATTTAGAGCAACCTTTTAGATTTAAAGGATATTGTGCAGTGAAAGAGTGTTTATTAATACCTTGATTTCTTAGCTATCTTTCATTTTTGTATAATTTAACTTATGCTTGAAGTACAAAAATTAGTAGTCATAGCCCCAGAAGCTGAAAGTGCCTAAAACGGTGACGTATGTCGCAGAACAAATGTAGTCCTGCAGAACAATTTGTATCTTGAATAAGTGACAGCGTTTTGCTGCGAATCCCCCCTCTCCGCCCACTTGCCTCCAGTAGTCTTGCAGAACAATCCCAATCCAATGCTTGCAGAACATTTGTATACATTAATAAGTCCTGTTGCAGAACATTCGAAAATATTCTGCTTATGGGGTCACAGACATTAAAGGCTGAAACAAGCAACTTTCATCCTACAATGTTTGGTCAGGAGTCTGAGGTCCTTCTGTTTGAGGGTGACTACTTGGTGAACTTTGAGAATAAACTGTCAATAATAAAGATCCAGTAATCTTCATTCATAAAAACTCTTCAAGAAATGCTTAAATAAGCTATAATGCAGATTTCACATTGGCTGATATAGCGAATTACACAGGCATTAGTTAGTTTTGGGCATTTAAATAACAACTTCAGCTATGACGCTAATTTTGGTGATAATAACCTCTGATGATTCAATGAATGTCGGGTAAAAAATAAGTTTTAGAAGTTGGAGGAAAAAAATCTTGACCTGACAGATTAAGAGATCTAGGTCAATAGACAAGTCCATTGCAGCTATTCCATATGTTTTGATAAAGCAACTGCCAGATAGTTTTACCAAGTATACTTTCTGTCATGAATGGCTATTTATTTGTTGATGCCTCATTGTTTTTTTTGTGGCTAATTCTATCACCTCTTATGATCTAATATCTAGTGCAGTGTTTGTCAAACTTATGACTTTTGTGTACCCTTTCTAAATTTTTCATAACGCTGTGTACCACTAATAAAAAAATTAATGTATTTTTTTAAAAATATGTTTCTTTTCTTTCTTTTTTTTGTACAGAGTTTTGTTAATAAGTTTATTTGCATCAGTGAGAAGGATGATATTGTTTTTGCTGTGATAACAGTTCATTGTAATTCAGTTCTCTTGTGGTCAAGTTTAATCTGAGATGCGATTCCACATCCAATAATCTATTCATTTTTTCGACTTAATGTCCACGAATGCTGAAAAAGCGACTTCACATAAATATGAAGTTGGAAAAAGCAAAATATATTTCAAAACTTTTTCTGTTAAAACTGGATACATATTTTGCCTTTGCAGCCAAAATGATGTTAAAGTACACTCCTCATATTTATTTTTCAAGAATCTGTCTGAAGCCAATTCCAATAATTGCTCTTCTTCAGCATGCAACAATCCTCCTGGCATGGATGTTGTATTAATATAAATGGATACCTTATACATTCAGTATCTCTTTTTAAATCGGGGAAATAGTTTTTCAAGTTCACCAGCAAACTCCAAATGCTGTGTTATGCATTTCAGAGTATCAGCATCAATTTTAGTAGCGGAACTTGTTATAAACTCATGAAGATAGGGAAACGAATCTATTTCTTCATTACTTTACCATAAATTTAATTTTGCGATGGCAGCATTTACTTTATCAAAGCACATGAAACAATATACTTTCGTCACCTTGTAAAGATAAATTCAAACAATTTAAAACTAATAAAAATGTCAGCTAAATATGACAGTTTTCTGAGCCACTGAAAGTCATATAAACAACTCTTTAGTTCAAAATTATCTTTAAGGAAATTATCATGTCTTAATTTAAATAGTCTGCGCAAAATTTTTCTTCATGATAGCCAACAAACATCCGTATGAAAAAGAAGCTGGGTATGATTGCTTCCCATTTTTTTTGCACATTACCCAAAGAAGTCATGAATTCAAAGGACGAGTTTTGATAAAGTTAACTATTTTCATTCTTCTTTCATCCAGAACTTTCTGTAGATCGGCAGGCATTTTTAATTGTGGCCAAAGCCTTTCTGTGTATGCAACAATGTGTGTATATGACATTTGGCGCAACATTTTTAATTTTTGCAATAAGTCCTTTATAGGGCCGGGATAGCCTGGTCGGTAGGGCGCTGGGCCCATATCCAAGAGGTCGTGGGTTCAATCCTCGCCGGCCGAAGACTCCCCGTGTAGTAAATGGTGACTGATGCACGTTAAATCTGTCGAGTCTCAAAGTCCTCCATGTTCCCACAACAAATCAATACCTCTGGGGGTACTGATCCAGGAGTTTCCTTGTCTTCTGGATTGGTTCAAAATTGCAAGGCTACGGAGTTGAACATTAGTAGTCGTAAACCCATGAAATTGGGTCGGCTGTTCAACGACGGTTATAAAATAAAATAAGTCCTTTATAAATTCTGACCATATGTTTTGCTCCATCTGTGCTTATTCCTACACATCTCCTGATGTGTGACCTAATAAAGGCTGACAAATAAAAAGTCATCATGAATTTCTTGATATTTTTCGTATCTAACAAACGCTATAAGATTTGATAACTTCACAATATAAGTGGACTCATTGACTTGTAATGCTTAATAACGACTTTGAGAAACGTTAGATAATAACATCTGTTTCACATTATTCGACATATCAGTGATTCGTCGGTGAACTATATTATTTGAGAGAGAAGCGTGATCAAAAGCTTGTTTCGCTTTTTCTCCTATCACTATTTTGGCCATTATCTTGGCTGCTGGCTTGATTAAAATTTGACCAATGGTTTCCGCTGCACTGCATTTCGCAATTAATAACGACACACGATAAGAAGCTTCTAATATTGTTTTAGTGTCTCCTGTCAAAACCGGCATAACTTTTTGAGATTGATTCAAATCCTTAAGTTTATTTTCAAAAAAATCTATCGATTTATCTTTGTACTTATGGTTTGTTTCAAAATGGCACTTTAAGTTGGACGGTTTCTTGCTTTTGTTTGTCAGTTTTTCAGGACAAATGACGCAAAGTGGAATAGGCTCATTTTCATCTCCAGTTCATAAGAATCCGAACTGAAGATATTATTTGTCATACTTGCAGATTTTCTGCACAGATTCTTTCAGTTAATTGCTACTATCATCATTACCTGTTGCAGATACTAACCAGCGATCCATATTCAATGTTACGGATAAAAATAATAAAACTAAGTCGCATTTATTACAAACCTTTACTATAAAAAAATTTCACAAAAGTTAAAAATCACAACTGGCTGTTGACACCACTAATTATTAACTGTTAACTCTGCAAAAGATAGCCAATAGAAAAATACGTAATCGTAAATGTTCATGACTTGCTTTGTTTTTCAATAAATTTTTTTGAAACTTTCGTTTGTTACCAGATATTTTGCATAAGAACGCATACCATCGCTAAACTGTTCCTGTACCCTTGAGGTTACGCATACCACACTTTGGGAAACACTGATCTAATGAATGGATTATTATGTATTGATGCAATCTTAATGGTTCGAGGTATCAACCTTAACTGCGCTAGTTAATTTATGTAAATAATATTGTATGCTACAAAATAAGACACCAAAATGAATTTGAAAATAACTTTTTTTTCAACGAGTTTGAGTTTTTGGCTTAAAATATAGGGGGCAGTCGAAATATGATCATAATAATTTAAGCCAGTGAGAGTCAAAAGTTTATGCCCTTTGATGTTAGCTTCACTTTTTCACTCTGAATATTATCAAAAGATTTGAATTTTCATTTTTTAAAAGCTGTTTAACTGATTCTGTTCAGTCTTTATGTTTTAGCATTTATAATTACATTGTTAAAGATGATATAATTTGTATATTTTTTTTGCTGTAATTAAAATAAAAAATAAAAAAACTATAAAAATTAATTTTATGACAATGTAACTATTCATGCTAGAAATTAAGTTTCTGACTAGCTTTTATTTAATTTACTTAAATGCATAAAATCGAGCACATGTAACAGTCACAAAGAAATACACTATTGCAAATAATGATAATTAAATTTAATGTAAACATTTACTGTTTTTAGAGAAATGGATACAACCTAGCGATTCGGCAACTGGAGATGAACGAACTATATTGTCGCTATATTCAGCAAATAGTTTAGTCAGAGTGATTGCCTTGGCAATTCATACTGAAAATAGAACCGTCATTATACAAGCAAAAATTTTCTTCAGATAATTCTTTGGAACTAGTTTTATAAGAAAGTTTCAAATTATTTATTTCAACTAGTTCCAGAGATATGAGTAAATTAATAAAAGTGAAATTAACACTAAAGGGGCACAAAACTTCACCCACTTTCCATTTGCATCATATTTTCTAGATTATGGCTACTCCGATATTTTAAGAGTGCAATTAGATATTTTAAGAGAGCAATTTGCAATTTTGTTTGCCTACTTCTCAAGAATTCATATAACTAAACTAAATTTGTATTGAATTTTTTAATTCAATACAATTTTTTTACTGATATTTTTTTAATTGTTTAATTTCTTATCTATTTTTAATTTTTTACTGCTTTTTCTTTTCTTTTTCTTTTTTTAAGAAAAAGAAAACTTTAAACCAGTCAATATATTTATTTCCTTAGGCATACAAGATTTACATTGCAGAAGAGAAGCACTTTCATGCATTAATTTATACTTACAAGTTTTGTTGTGGTTGCGATCTGTTCACGTTCTTCCAGAAGTGAATGAGGATAATGCAACATCTTCAAATGTTATCTATCGATTTGACGAAATAAACAAATCTTATTCCTGTAGAAGATCAGCTTTACAAGCTTTGAATAGGTGAATTCTTTGTTGTTATTATTAGTTTTTTTATCACTTTAATGAAGAAATAAACTAAAATTATTAATGCAAAATATCAATTTCACATTTATTGAATGAAGATTGAGATTTTGTGTTATCAAACATTTTTTTAAAATTTTATCTAACTCTGCTTACCATGCGTGTTATTGAGTACAATTCCTAAAGTTTTTTTGTTTTTATAAATAAAAGCTTATTTACATATTTTTTTAGTGTAAATAAAAATAACTATTTTTAAAACTTTTCTTTCCAGTTCATTTTTTTGTATTAGAACTTAAATATTTTTCTAATGTATTGGCGATTCTGCTTTAACAAACATTTCATTTAATGAAGCAAATTGCCTGCGCCCCTTGATTCTTGTTACTTACTAGTTTGACTGTTCGTAGAGAGTAATGATATTTTTTTACTATCTCATCCTTAATGTACAGCTTTGAGTGAAACTAACTCTAATTAACATTGTCTGTAAAATATATCTTCATGCGAATTTATTGATGTTAATCAATCCATCTTCCACTGTGGATATATTGTATTAACTTAGTGGGTATTGCTGGCTCTCTTTATAGTAAATTTTCTTTCGACTACATAAGTAATTTAAAATATAGAAAAAGTGTGTTAATTAATCCTACCAAAAATTTTTACAATTTTATTATTTTGGAAAACGATTTTCAGCATTTGAAACTTTATTGTTTACTCTAGGTTAACTTGAACTTAATTTATATTTTAATTGATCAATGGTGGGGAAACAGAATTTGCCATGAAAAGGCTCTCCAATGGAACATAGCAGACCTGTGCATGAATGCGTGTACGGCATTCTCGGAAAATTTGTCACCATCGCAAAATTTTTTTACTACTACTAGAAATAACTATTTAGAAAAAATATATATTCCTATTCGAAAGAAAATTTGTCTTTTTTGGATTCTGGTTTAGAAAAAAATTTATTCCAACCAATGCAAACGAGATTTAAAATTACGTTCAAGATTTAAAATCACGCATCTCAATTCCTATTTCCGTGGTTTAAAAGCCACTATTATAATTTGTGTTCAAGTGACTTAAAAATTATATATCGGAATTAGTATTCACACTATTTTGAAATTAAAAATTGAGATCCGTATTCACACGATTTTAAAATCAAAGATTGAGATTCGTATTTACACAAATTTAAATGTCCAGATTCCTATTTTTTACTAAAACATTGATAACATCCTGTGGATAAATGCTTCCTTTTTTGCCTTTTCTTGCTCAAATTTCAGGTATTTTTCAATTAAGTTTTTTTGCACATGACATTTTTGGATTTCTGTTTTCAGTTTTTCCGTTACGGTGGTATTGATCATTGTAGAATTCTATAAAAATTAAACATTTTTAAAAAAATCCATTATTTTTCAAATGAGTTTCGTCAAAATGAGATGGTGACAAAAAAGTTGAAACTATTTACAAAGAGTTAATCAATGTGTACAGAAAGTTTTTTAATTGAGATTTTGTGTTCACAGAACGTTTTTCATTTTATCTAAGCCTGGTACGTAGTATTCTCTTAAGACTTTTTACTAGTACAAAAGAAAAGGTACAAAAAAAAGGTAGGTACGAAAAAAAAGTCATTAAGTAACTATTAAATCTTTATTTTTAATAATTTTATTTTTAGTACAATTGGTGCTACAGATGTACTCATGATTGATGGAATTGTCAAAGAAGTTGGTGTAAGTGGCATTTGGCAGGAAAAAAATGGAACAGGAATATACCCACCTCCGAGCATCTATGCAGCATTAAACACCTATTTACTGCATGGAGTTGATACCAACTGGAAACATGCTATTATCTATTATCTACTGCTTGATCTTAAAAGCTCTGCTGAAAACACTCAGTTCGAAGCAGAAGTTAAAAAGTTCCCAGTAATATTCAATATGCCGAAATCTATAGTGAAATTAGTTAAAGCATTTTGGTACTTAGATCGTAAAGATTGTAATGTAAGTATGTTTATGTTAGTTTTATTATTGTTATTTTGTATCAAAAATGATAGTTGATATTATCAAAGTATCAAGTTTTATATCAAAACTGAAAATGAATTTTCTCCTATTTTAATTCTTTTCTCTTAACGATGTATATTCCTGGGTTTATGAAACTGCTTTTACAAAGTCCTAGGATTCCATATAGTTTTTTGAAGGGTTCTGTAAAGAAAACCAAAATTTCTCAGTGCTGTAATAAATATTTTCAAAAATAAAATACTCCAAACTATATCCTGATTTTTTTTTTTTAAATAATAAATAATTGAAGTGGTGGTGCACTTTCAGTAAGTTTTGGTACAGATCTAAATTGTCTTTCATTTATTTTTATAGAAAAATATTTAAAAGTTATGCAATTTTGAAAATATTATGTTTGGGTTTCTCTAATTTTAATCATAATATAATTTGAATGTTTTATTTATTATTGTTGTTGTTTTTCTTTCTTCCTTTCTTTTTTTTAGACACTATGACACTTGTTTAGCTATATTTTGTTCTAAGTGAAGTAGTACAAACATAACTTTAAAAAAATATATTATTAATAATGTGACAAAAAATTCCTTTAAATTGAAACAACAAAATAAATATGTTAATTGCTTTAAAAAGATTCTGAACAAATTACTTGTTCTACAGCTAAAAAGTGCATATCAGGGGGGGCAGGCTTAATTAAAGAGTTTTAGAATCGCTGGTTCATTTGAAAAAGTGAATAAGGAAAAACAATGTATGTAGATGAATGCAATATATTACCATTAATGTGTACTGTCATATGAAAATCTCATGATAGTGTAATGAAATGTATAAAAAATTATTTAAAAAATAAATACAAAATCTTTAAGTGTTCACATTTCCTGTTTAATACAAATACTAAGGTATTGACAACTTTACCTACCTTCTGTACCCCTAATTTGTCATTCATTAGCATTAAATATAGTTTCTCTCTGTTCACTCATTTTGAGCAATTGAATAATTTTGTACACTTGGTTGTCTGTATTATTTATTTAGAACTAGTTTTCTATTACAATTAAAAGTAAATATTCTATATGTTTATGCATGATCATGAAAGTTCATGTTAGCATTATGAGAAGTCACCAGCAAATTGAAAAGCAAATTTTAAAAAAAGAAAAAAAACTGAAAATTTCATTTAAAAATTCAAAACTTAACTTAAAGTTGTATTTAACAAAAATATTACTGATGTCAAACATTTCCTGTTACTTGTTATCAAAAGAATCTGAATATCGGAAATAAACCGTTTAACTATAAATTTCTAAAATATTGTGAGACATATCTGCCTAATAATTTTTTTTTTTTTAAAAATCTATAATTTTGTGTTGTTTTTTATTATTATTCAAGTAAATAGTAGATTTAATTTCATAACAGTAATTAGCATTGTTTAAAAAAAAGGCAGGTTAAAAGTAACAAAGAGAGGATTCTACCATTATTGCTATTAAAATATGAAAATAATAATAATAAAAAAACTTGAGTTCCTTTTCTCTCTTTCTCTCCTTTTTATAGATATTTTCCTAGAAAAACAATTTCTTTTGATCCAAAGGAAGATAGTGTGTACTTTGGGCTACACATAAAGTTTAACAATGTTTATAAAGCACATATAAATGGCAAAAAAATGGGCATATTCAGTATAAACAAGAACTCTCCTTTGTGTTGGAACACAAAATGACAGTATAAAATACGAAGCAAACAAATTACATTAAAGAAAAAGGTGATTTGACCAATAGAGTAATCGGGAAAAAAAAGCTGGAACAAGATAATGAAAACACAAGACAAACTGCAGTAAAGAAACAAGTTGTTTAACCATTAGGGTACAAAAAACAACCTGTCTTGTTCAAGCTTTTTTTTCTTGCTCTAACTGTTAAGCTGCTTTTTCTTCTTATTGCATCTTGTTTGTCTCGAATTTTTCCGTCAAATTTAGTTTTAAGAATGAGGAAGATTCTTGTTTATTGAACGAGAATTATAATGCGTCCTTTTTTTGTACATTATTTGTGTTTTATTCACATTGTTTAGACTATTCTATTTATTTTGAATTGTTAATTGAAAGAAATGCATTTAACTTTTTACAATTCATGTGACTCTATTAGCAGCATTTTGAAGTTTTTTTAACAGTAACATTTTATAATTTAGCTATCAAATATCATTTGCACTATTTACACAAAAAAATCAAAATGTGCATAAATTTTATATTATTACCGTCTTTCTTTTTGCCATATACAAAAGTTTTAATAACAACCTTTGTAATTTAAGGATGCTATTAGAAAGATATTTGATCCGGCTGTAAAGTCTTCAGATATTTTAATGTGGCATCATCACAGAATTATAAAATCGTGTCTTTATTATCGAAATCCTGAGAAGGCTTTGAAATACATCAATCATGTGACACCACCTCAAAATACGATTGAAGATATGAGACTATACCTATCTGTTTTGCTTGCATGTGGGTAAGAAATGTTAATTATTTTTGCTTGCTGCAGAGTTCCCTTGTGTTAGCAAAGACATGGGGAAATTTGTTAGTGACATCATGAGAAAGAAAGTGGCATCACGGGAAAGAATTTGCTAGTATGTTGGCAACAAAAAAAGTTCGAAATTGCATAGCTGATCTAACTGTTTGAAAATATCTTATTTTATAATAGTATTTTATATGAGGTTTGAAATAAATAATTCTTATGTGTTTTGAAAAGTGCCGTTAAAAAAAAAGCCCATACCATTGCTTAAATTTCTCTCACTTGGCTCGTATTGTTGGATATGTAATAAATTCTTGTGTTTTCTTTTGTTGTCACTGACTTTGTAGACTGTGTTTCACGTGAAATTAAAGTATGAACACCTTTTTGCTGATTGTTTTTGTTGCACAATGCATTACTATTATATGATCTTCCACAATAGGGAAAACTACCCAAAAGAAATAGGTTTCTTCGATCCCAGATGTAGGAAATAAATTGAACTTTTCTTTTAAAAAAGAAATATCATGTTTAATACATGATATTTCTTTTACAAGTTGTTTAATACATAATTTTTCAATAATTAAAAACTGAAATAGAATAATTGAAAAAACAATTGATTGAATTTTTTTAGGAAAATCAAATAACTTAATGTATGCAATGTAGCAGATTACGCAGTAAATTGAAAATAAAATGCTCATAATTTATTTAGATATAAATATGCATATTTATTTGGGAAAAATAATAAGTTATTTTGAATGTGTTATAATAGCTTTTGTTGGCTATAATTTTCTGCATTAAGCTGAAATAAAAATATATGAAAATAGTAATTTTGTTTTAAGAAAATATGAAAATGAAATATGAAATGAAATTTTGTGAATTGAAATGAGATGAAATATGAATTTGTTTAAATAAGAACTATTGTTCGAATATTTATTGCTGAATTTTATTGGTCACTTTTAGTTTTTTTCCAGTTCTACCATTTCTNAGGTTATTTTATAAGTTATTTTATGAAATAACTTAATGTATGCAATGTAACAAATTATGCAGTAAATTGAAAATAAAATGCTCATAATTTATTTAGATATAAATAAGCTTATTTATTTGGGAAAAATAATAAGTTATATTGAATGTGTTATAATAGCTTTTGTAGGCTATAATTTTCTGCATTAAGCTGAAATAAAAATATATGAAAATAGTAATTTTGTTTTAAGAAAATGTGAAATATGAATTGAAATATGAAATGAAATTTTGTGAATTGAAATGAGATGAAATATGAATTTGTTTAAATTTGAACTATTCTTCGAATATTTATTGCTGAATTTTATTGGTCACTTTTAGTTTTTTTCCAGTTTCTACCATTTCTTCTGTTTTTTTCCAGCATTCTGGAAGAAATCTTAATCCTGGGACCCCATTATGCTGTTGTTTTAATTCATTGGTTATTTACTTTATTTGCCTACTCATAACCTAACTATATATGCTAAATACGCATGCATATCTCTTTTGTCTTGTATAATTTTATTTTTAAGCAATTATTAGAATTTTATTTTTTTCCAAAATTTATTTCTTGAAGGGGGATTGGGAAAATTTTCATGTAAAAATTTTATAAAACTTGGTGTGTTATTTTTGATGAAATTAAATTCAAATCATAAAAATATCTTTAACAAATTTTTAGTGCTATTACACAAGCCTTTGAATACCAAAGGAAGAAGCAAAACCAAGGATATGGAAATGACTTGATGAAACATCTATTTCTTGGATGCCAAGAAAGTATGAATCTTTTTCAATTATAAAAATAAAAGTATTCATTCATAATGCTAAATTGGGGTATTTAAGCCATAAATTACAATTTCTTTTGGATGATCTTTACTTGCCTCCAAACTGCTAAGGAGTTTAATCGCAAGATCTTCTATTGATCTTTTTTTTTTTTAATCTTGTTAAACTTATTATATTGCACTTAGATTCAGCTTACCTTTTTTTATTCTTACTAACAGTCCAATATTCACACAGTTAAGAATGCCTTAAAGTCCTATAACTGCTTTCCCGCAGTTAAAAATGTAATTTTATGACTGAAAATTAATTTACTTTATGCTTGTATGAAATCATGTTGTTAGTTACATGCCTAACTTGTTTAAGGGGTCTCTAAACCATTAATTCTTTCCAATTTATTATATGGCAAACAGTTTAATTTTGTAGTAGAAATTCAATGTTCTACTGCATTTTTCACGTAGGTGTGAAAAGTATTTTTAACTTTCTTCTTTTCTTTAAAGGTTTACTTAAGTGTGGTAAGCATTAATTTGTTTCTTTTTTATTTATAGTGGGAAAAATGAGAGAATTGATGTATCTGCCTTTAAACAACCTGGAATCTTCAACACTAGTGCAATTTCTTTCTGAAAGTGAAAGTGCTAGGGAGCAAGAAACACTTGTCATCTACCAGCTATTACATTGTAAATTATTTGAAGCAGAAAAAAATAATGAAAAACTTTCTCTCTTACTTATGGTTTGTATTATTGTTAAAAAAATTTTTTAAATGTAAATATACTATTTTATTACGTTGTAATTTGGAATAACTGGCCATAGAACAGAGAGAAATTTATCAATATAGCAAAATCAGGGAATTTAACTAAAAGTTCCAAAATAGTCAGGAAAAATGAATAAATTTATGTTTAAGGTGCGTAGAAGTCCTTTTCATTTTCCATGAAAATTGGTTTTATAATAATTTTAAAAATTTTTTTTTTTTTAAAAATGAATAATTTATGTGTAAGGCTATAATTTATGTGTAAAGTTCTATATTTCTTTTCTGTGAGAATTGGTCTCATAATAATTTTTTTTTTTTAAATAGTTTATTTTTAAATTCAATGTCTTGTGTAAGTGCTTTGTAATGTATTATATGTATGAGAAGACGATATTTCTTATAATTAATAATAAAATTTATGTCACAGATTTTGCAGAAGTCAGGGAAATTCGATAAATGACTATTTGCGACCTAATTAAATAAGTATTTCTTTAATTTTTTTTATATTAAAGTGAAGTGAGGAGTATAAGATTTTGGATAAATGAAATGTATGCAGCTGAATTATAAGTGTGTTTGCAACTGTAATGATTGAAATCTGTGTGACTAAAAAACTTTTTTCCCTTCCTTAACATTAATGAAATAAGGCAGCGGTTTCCAAATGGCCTTGCGTGGAACCCTAAGGTTTTGTGGAAGGTTCACAAGGGTTCTGAGAGTTGGGACTTTTTTTTTTAACAGTTGTGATTTTCCAAACCTGTAATTAAATTTATATCTGATTAATTGCCCATTATTTATTCAATATTTTTGTGATTTTTATGAAATTATTTAATAAGAATGCTTGTAAAGATAACATTTAAGTTTACAACATTTTAGTTTACACTTAGATTTTCTCTTTTTTTCACAATTCTAACTAATTTTTATAGAAAAAGAGTCACAGTCCATCAGAAGCTCTTATCAGAGAACGTTCTGCAGACAGGAATGCTTTAGTTGAATGTCTGTTGGCAGGGGTATCAAAAACAGAAAGAAACCTAGTCAATGAAATAAACAGACTTCCACTTGAAGCTCCAAAAAGAGAAGGTAATTATCATTGTGGTAAAAACTAGGTAATTTTCAATTGATCAGATAATTTACTCCAAATGTTTTTTTTCTTCATGGTAATCATATGACTATTTTAATTTAGTAATTATGTTACAGATTTTAGTAATATGTGAAACCTAAATAAAGAAAAATGCCATCAAAACTGCTAAAATTGTATACTTAGGAGCACATGATAATGGTAAAATCTAATACTGTAATAAGAATTAAAGTATTATTTATCTAATTTTAATGAAATTATAATTATTAAAATTCAAGAAAACTGCTTAAAAATGCAATGAGGTGTTCTGTAAATACCACCTTTACTATATATTTTTAGAATCCTTATCAAAAAAGAATACACATTAAGGATTACAAATTAATATTTAAGAGAGGAAAAACTAAAAATGCTATCAAAATCTGACAAATTACAGTATATGAATTTGGATGTAATGAAAAAGTCAGATTGTGGCAGGAAACAAGGAAGTTGATCAACAATTATTAGAGATACCTTCAATTGTCGATCTCCAATTTAACCTTTTAAGTTTATTACATTCTCCTATCTCTACTGTTATTCATATTTCAATCAATGGCGTTTTTGTTTTCTTCTTGCCTAAACATCAGCTTGCATTCCTAATGTGAATGCTTTTTTGCTTTTGTTTTTATTTTTTATAATTAAAAAGAAAACATCTTAAAGGTAGTTTTTACTGAACACACTATATATTTCTGCTGAATGGTTTTGGTTTGTCAAATTTTTGAGGAATGCAATTTTAATTCATTTAAAATGTTAATCTTAGTTCCTGAAGAAATATCATCGGAAATTCTGCAGATAAGTTACTAATGAATAATTCCAAATTCAATTTAGAAAATGAATTTACTCCTGAAATATAATACATGATAAGGCTGCAAGTTATCTTGTCCTATTGAGTTTTTGAAAAAAAAAATGGTTGCAATGCAATAATACAATTAAGAAGTAACAATAAAGCAATCAATCATTAGTCAAGTGTCCATTGTACTTTTCACCTGTGTTACTAGAATATTTTACTTTTACAGAAATTTAAACAATAGATAACCTTCTTCCTATGAACTCTATTTCAGAATATATCCAACCATTATCTGTGTCAGTTAGATCTAAAACAATGAGAACAGAGTCCTACTCAGATTTCTTGAGATCACTAATAACTAAAATGCCTTCATCAGAACACCCTAAAACTCCAAGGTAATTTGTTATGATAATGAATCATTATTGATTTTGGAATTTGTTATTTTTGATTTGCATTTTTCTTTTTAGCATAAGTGAGATTTAAATGTATAATAAATACATATTGTGATGTAATTAAGTTCTAACAGTAAGAAGCTTAGGAAACTTTTTTAGAATATTGTTAAATTGTTATAAAATCTTTATTTATATGTTACGATATTTGAAATTTTGAAACTACCTAAGAAACCTCATTTCTATCAAATGAATGTTTTTTGTCTCTATTGACAAATGTTAAAAGAAATGTTATGTGAAAAGTGAAATGAATTTTCAATTTAGAAGTAACAACCTTCTATTTTACAATATGTTTTTACTTCACTAATGCTTGTTAACTTTATTTTTTTGATCCGTATAATAAGTAACTTAAGTTTAAGGTGAACAGTTATTGTTACTATGTTGTATTATAAAAAAAAGTATTAATTCACTTTTATTGATTGATACTGTAGTAAAAATCTTATTAATCTAATAAAGTCTTATTAATCTAGTCTACCCTGATAAAGTCTTATCTGTTAATCCAGAGTCTAATGAATTTAATCTGTGAAACTAAAGTAATGCAATAACAAGTTTTGAGATTATTTAATTTTAATGTAACATTCTGTTTATATTCAAGAAAATATTGATCATGTAGCTATCGTGAGATGTTGGTAAATAAAGCAAGCAAAGAGTGGAGCCTCCTAGTTACTTTATAAAATGCTATTTTGTTATTTTAAACCAAATAAGTCATTTAATACAAAAGGAATTTTATCAATGTTTTAAGATTGTGATAATTTTTCACACATACTTCTTAAATGATGGCACAATGCTACAGATTTTGCAGCTTTTCATACATAATGTATGACATTCTAGACTCAAGTTAAACTCATTTTCACTAGAAAATAATATTTCAGCTAAAGAGGAATATGAATTCTCCATAATTTAAATTTCTTTTTAGTTTGGAGTTTCTTTTTCCTTGATGTTGAATAAATGCTAGTGACTATTTTACTGATTTTTCTATGGCCAATTTATGGTCAAATCAATTCTATGGTTCAATTTCTATTTCACGATTAATTTCCTTTGATGGTCAATTTACAGAAATAAGGTTTTATTTTATGTAATATCCATATTTCACTGTACTCAAAATCATCTGTTCCCTGTAGGGGTTGAGACTAAGTCATCAATATCCAGTCCATCTCCTGCTGCAACATAAAATTATATGTAAAACTCTATTTTTGTATACATTATAGTGTAATGTTGAGCTGTAATATTTTAGAAGGCATATTTTTCTAATTAATTATTAAAACTGCTTTCCTATAAAATCATGTATATTAAAACATTCTTACATTTTTAGTTTATTCTACCTTCATTCAAATGATTTGTCAATCTTGCATTCTTATTACTTAAGCTAGACTAAAACGTACATTTTGAAACTGAATGATAGAGTTTTATATGAAGAACTAAGCCTTCACAGTTGTCATGAGATATTAACCATTTTATAATTGAGCAAGTTTATTAGTAATTATTTTTAGTATAATTGTTTTATTTTTATTTAGATCTGGATCTGCTTTTGAAAATCTTCCGTTCCTTCGTCCAGTTAATACTCCTGAGAGAAGTGTTAAGTATGTAATCTACTTCAAAATCGGAAGAATATATTTATAACAATATATATATATGTATATATATATGTATATATATATATACAGACGTGCCAACTCTCCCGCATTTTGCGGGAGTCTCCCGAATTTTGAGTTATTCTCCCGCCCTCCGGAATTGATTTGAAAAACTCCCGAATTTTACTGCGATCGACGGCCAAACTCAAAATTACCTAATTTTTCCGCGAGTGCGAAGGTAAGTTTTTCTTTCAGCTTGAATTCCATCCCCTCTTATCAAACTACCATCTGCCTGAAGCGTAGCTGAACATGCTTTATTTTCCCCCCTCTTCAACGTTACCTCTTAACACTCCTATTTCACCCGCCCCCTTACACTGGGGGCGGGTGAAATCTTCCTCTTCTTTCGTGTGGAGTTGAATGCAATGACGTCACATGTCGTTATCGAGTGACGTCCGTTCAGGAGTGGGGAAACTCGTACTCTCGATAGTTGGAATTGATATTGTATCTTGCTGTTTTTATAGTTTTTAATGCGTATTTTTCCACGGTTGGCAACAAGCTCGTAAACTAGCAACGTGATATCAATTATTCGTTTAGTCTTCGTATATTTAAAAAAAAAAAATTTTTTTTTTCAGGATGTCTTAAGTCGAAACGGAAGTATGGATCAATTTCAACAAATCATGTACCAATGACTTTAGCAAGACTTAATTGCGGAGAGCTAAGTCTGCAACTCTTTTTTT